AAGGTCAGTGAAATGCCCTCAGGATTTATCTTGAGATCCTGTACCTCAGATTGTAGAACCTTTGTCAGTGAAGTACATTCATCTTTGTTTTTATATCTACTTATTGTTTTATATGAGCCTTACATATGTTTATGGGATTTATAGCACACTGCTATAAATATGTAAGAAACATGTAATAGCAAGTTTTGAAAAATGCAAATTTTAGCAGAGAATTATGGCAAGAACCAGATCATACTAATATGAACATTTTCAGGATGAAATTTTGTTGTTAGAAATGAAAAATACAAAACAAAAAAAGAGAGCATGAGCACATTGCTAAAATAATTTCATCAAAAACATATACACGAAGATGGTGCTCTTGTCAATTCAGTGCCTCCTCTTTGCATGAGGAATATGTCCACTGGACTGGGGGATTGGCACAGACTGCCTTAGTGCAATACTATGCACATAACCGACATTTGCTTTGGAATAAAGTCCTCTAGGTTGTAACTTCATGCCACATCCTTAAGAACTCAGTATGCACCACATCGCCTTTGAGATCCAGAGGTTCTGGAGAGTGCTGTGGGTCAGGTTCTAGCTCAGCAGGCCCAGGACTCCCCCAACACATCTGTGCAGTGGACTAGTTACACAGGGTGCCCTCTCCACATACCACTTAGGCAGACAGGAAGAAGGTGGTGTGACCTCTCATGACTGGCTTGGCTAAGAAGAAGGAACACTGGGGCGTTTGTCTTGCATCATAGTCCCACACAATCCGGGCAAGACTGCTCCCCTCCCCCTTCTATCTTGTTGGGCTAGCTTGGCATCTTCAAGGATGGGAGAAGAGGGAGGATTTGCCACTGTCAAATCCACGTGTGACATCTGTGATCAGCTGGTCTTCAACTTGTAGCAGCGATTCATTAGTTTACCTAATTCCATAGAAGGTTCTTTATCATGTATAAAATAATAGTTATCTATTTTTACCAAAGTCATCAGAATTTTACAGCAGACATCACTTGGATCTGCTTTTAGATGCCTCGGATAGATTGTCAGTATGACCAACTTCCTGGGGAAGTGAGTATTAGGACAGACATCACAAGAGCCTTTGGTCTGATCTGAGTACTTCTCATCTGGTTTATTATTATTATTATTGTATTTGGTTGTTGCAAGGTCTCACTATGCAGCTTGAACTGATAGTGATCCTCCTGTTCTCCGTGTCCTTAGTGCTGGGATTACAGGTGTGTGCCACCATGCTGGGTCTCAGTGACCTGCTCAGCCTGCCTGAGGGCAGAGCTGGCACGGCATGTGGTGCTGGGGATGGAACCACTGTCCCTGCACTTGGCAACCCATATGTCCAAGTTTGCCTAAGCTTGCCTGAGCAAGTGCTTTAGTCTGCTGAGCTATCTGGCTGGCCCTTAAATTCAAATTTTTATTTATTTATTTTTTATTTAGTGCAGGGTTGTTATGGTTTGTGT